CCATTGGCTCATATCCTCTCTGCCAGAAGCCCATGACCATGTGGGTCTAGCAGCTTCTGGGGCCCAGAGCAGACTGCACAGGCTCCAAAAGACTGACTGCACTTCAATACGGAGCTTTTGCTCCGGCCTTGCTGAAGATAAGGCTGGACTTCTTCCGTGGTGGGACGACCAGAGAGGGGACATTGGAAACCCAGGGGCAGCCGTCCACACTGAAAAACCACTTTGCCAAACCGCAGTCTCCCGTGTGTGGGTCCTTGGAAGGCTTTCCTTGCCATCCAAGGAAGAGCCCAATTTCCACCAATAGCAATGGAGCTGAAGTTTGAATCTGTGTTTATTCCTTAACACCAGCTACCAAGGTGAAACCCTGAGAGCTGATGTCTGGCAAGGTCAGAGTGGCGATCTCTCCTCCTAGGGCTGGGTCCACCCAGAGGCAGCTTTCTTTGCCTGGCAGGTGTTTCTTTTCTTCTTTAGCTGATTTTTAACACCTTTAGACTGGATGTACAGAAGAGAAACCGAGGCCCAGAGGGGGTGTGTACCTGCCCCGGGCACACCCCCCTGCACAGAGGCCAGGGGTCCCTTCCATGGGCAAACCCCGCCTCAGTCCCTCAGGCGGCTCCGAGTGGCCCAGCCCCTGAGGCAGTTTGCAGGGAGTTGACAAGTGAATGGGGAACTGAAGGTGGCATCTCTCGAGGATGAACACTGGGCACAGCTGTGTTGATGGGTGGCAGACGTAGATCATTCTGCAAGCAGACTTGGCCCGACGCTGGGGCTGGGACATCCGTCAGCTGCTGCCCCATCACTATTTCAACTGAGAGGCATGGGGGGAGGGGCGGGGATCAGGAAAGACGATGCTCCCCCATGCGAGAGCCTGTTTCTGCTGGCAAAGTCCTCCAGAGTCCAGCGGGGCCACTCAGATGCCCCGGGGTTGGCCCCCAGCGGGATGAGTTGGTGGGGTTGTCCTGGGCCCGAGGGGCTCCTTGGAGGCCTCCCCTGGGTAGGCCCTGGGCTGTGCCCTCCTGCAGTCCCTTCAGCAGCCCTGGAGGCAGGTTTCAGGGCCCTCACATTTCCAGCAGAGACACAGAGGCTCAGAGAGGGCAAGCCATTAGTTCGGGGCTCCCCAGCCTGTAAACGGTGGGGTTGCTCCTGGACCCCAGGTCCCTGCCTCCTCTGTGACTCTCAGTTCAAAGTGCTCTCTGATTATTACACAGACCACACACACACACTTGGGTACCTTTATAACTCATCCATCAGGCCAAAACACGTGAGGTACAGCGATTTCATACAGTTCAGCCAAATGTATATTATACATGTGTGTATAAATACATATATTTTTGTTGGGTCGAACCTTATTATCATGGGGTCAGAACCCTCGGTTCTGGGTGGGGTATTGCTGAGCAATACCACTTGCTGCTGGCCAATGGACCTTGATTTTGGCCTCTCAGGTCCTGTCCTGAGCCTGCCATTGGAGCCACAAACGGGCTATGCAGGCCGGGCTGGCTCCTGCGGTCTCCTCCCAGCTTCCCAGGACTCCCAGGCCACCTGGTCACTGGGTCACTAAGCCTCGGGGTCTCAGGGGCCAGCCTCCTGTATTGGGAGACAGCCCTGGGGAAGGTTGTCTTCACTCTCCGGGCCTCAGTTTGCTCATCTGTGTAATGGCATATTATTCTTGGGTAGTCACAAGAGGGGAACTTTTTTTCAAAGTCTTGAGTTTTCTCTTTGTAATTCATGCACATTTTGCCTTGCATTCTGCTACCCATCCATGCTCTTTTTGGTATAAGTATAATGTCTTGGGGAACTTAGCTTAGCATCTCACCAAGCAAAATGGAAGCTCCAGGAAGAAGTGCCCTTTTAAAAAATTCTCTGGCTCCGTCAGCCTCAGCAGAGGCAGCTTAAGAACCAGACGGCCTGGGTTTGATCCCTGGCCTGCTGCTAATTACTGGGTCACCCTGGTCAAGTATGTCTCAGCTCTGAGCCTCAGTTTCCTCATCTGTAAAATAGGAGAGAAGCAGTCCCTCTCTCCCCAGGCTGCCATGTGGATGAAAGGAGTTAAGGTTTCTACGGCCCTAACACAGAGCCTGGCGTCCAATCAGCTTTCAGCAGCTGTTTGCAAGCACCTCCCAGCACACAGCTGCGCCCGTCCCCTTGACGTGAAAATCTGGGCAGCGAACACTTGCTAAACGGTCTCCCCACGCCACAATTCTAGGATCAACTCAGCCTGCGTGGACACCCAGGTCTGCTCGGGGCAATATCCCAGCCACCCAGTCCGGCCTCCTTGCCCTCTGCTGTCTGGAAAGCCACCCACGGATGTGCCCCTCACTACCCGGGCATCTTTCTCTTCTTGAATATGCCAAGCATGTGCCTTCCATGAATTTTGCCTCTGCGGCGCCCTCTCCCTGCACGCTTGCTTCCCGGATGGTCTCGCGGTCGGACCGTCTGTGGTTGGGCTTGGCTCAAACACTCTCTCTGAAGGCCCTTTTCCTGAATTTGCTCACACCCCTCAGTCACTCTGTCATTGTCCTGTTTTATTTCATTTACAGCATTGGTCACCCACTGAAAATAGTTTATGTATGGGATTCTTTGTGCTTGCCAGGCTCTCTCTTAACAGACCTCCCTCCTCACCGGAGAGCAGGGGGTCCATTGTCTCGCTCACCGAAGCATCCCCCGTGCCCAGGGGGGCACGTGGCCTGGGGAAATCGACTTAACAAATTGCTGTTCTATGAATAAGTGGAAGAAGGCAAAGGCGGTGTGACTCCATGATGTAAAAACGCATAGAAGAAAGACAGGAAGAAAAGGCGCCAGAATGTCACAGGGTTCTGTCTCTCTCCTCTTTGTTTTCCGGGTTTTGGACGGTGGAAGGAGGGCGTTTCAATTTCACAAGTAGAAGAAAGCCCAGATGTTCTGCAGACGCCGCTCGGCGGCGGGTCTGACCCACCGTTCTCTGGGCTTGGCTGAGGCTCGTTTTATTTCTGCCCCTGTGGTTTGCCTTAGGATTTAAAAACAAACCCCGGTCATCCCCTTGGAGAAACTTCTGTGGAAGTCAGCCACCAGCCGCTCCCTTCTGCTTTTGCTTCGCTTTCGTGGCCTGGATTTCTGAAAGAAGATGTTTTGTGTTGGCGGCTCATTTTGGGAGGCCCTCCAAACTGGGGAAATCTCCCGGGACACGCTCAGGTAGGAGGGCAGGGGCAGCGGGGCAGGTGGTGGCGGTGGTGGTGCTGCGCCTCTCCCACCAGACCGGGCGCCTTCGGGGCAGGCCTGGGCCAGATTGGAGCTCCCCAGTACAGGGGCTGTGTCCCCTCCAGCGACTGCTAGACACATCTTGCTCTAGAAATAGCCTTTCTTTTTAACTCTTCTTCTTATCTTCCTTTTTTGGGCGTCCTCTTTCAACTCTTATCCCCAGCCAGCTCATCAACACCCCAGGGAAGTGATTCCCAGTCATCCAGAACAGCCTCTGCTTGAGGTAAAGAGACCTCTGTCAGTCTCAAAAGGGCAGCAGAACTCCCACAGGGGGACATGACGTCCTACCAGGAAGCTTCCTCTGCAGGCTCATGGCTCTTTCAAGACAAGCTCCAGTGTGCAGGGAGTATCCAGCCATCAGAACTGGATAACACTCACACCCTCCCGGGCAGGCTAATAGCAACCACATTGCTCACCCCGGCGAGGGAACCCACACCAAACCCCTGTGGAGCAATTTCTGCGTGCTGGGCACGGTGCCGGGTGCTTCTCGGCCTGTCCTCCGTCTGTCACTCTGGCAGTCTGGACACGCCACTCAACTGCTCAGAATAGTTTCCTGTTGAACTCTGAAGGACAGAGTCCCCACCACAGTCCTCCATTTACTCTCCACGCTCCTTCCTGTCCACTCGTCTTCCGCCCCGCCCTGGACTATCAGAGGACACATTCCCACCTCAGGGCCTTTGCATCTACTCTTCCTGCCACCTAGACCGCCCTTCTCCAAAAAGGCTACATAGTTTGCTCCATACCCTCCACTGAAATGTCAGCCCCGGGAGAGTGTTGCTGGCTTTGTTCTCAGCCGTAAGCCCAGGGCTGGAGTCAAGTCCAGCACATAGTAGTGGCTCAATAAATATTTGCTGAATGAAAGAACATGCTTAAGTGGCAGGTACGATTAATCCTGTTTTACAGACGAGGAGACTAAATGACTAGCTCGCAATCGCAAATCCAGGATCTATTGAGCGCTTCCCGTGTGCTGGGCTCTGGCGCACAGAGGTGAGTGCTTGCTTTGGAGAAGTCTCCTGGCTGTTAGGGGCAACAGATCAGCAAACATGTATAACCCAGTGGGCAGTGTGCTGGGCTGGAGACAAGCAGAGTGCACTGTGGGAATACACAACTCTGGCTGGGACATCAGTGAAGGTTTCCTGGAGGAGGTGACATTTGAGGTGAGTGTCAGGGAATGAGTAGGAGTTTGTCCGTTTAGGGGAGGTAGCAGTTGAGGGGGAGGTATTGTCCCAGATACACAGGACGTGCAAAGTAACAGGACATGCAAAGTTATCCAGATATGAGAACGCGGGTTTTTTTTTCGCCCCCCAATTTTTCAGTCTGGCTGGGGTGGGGAGGAGGGGAGTGCATGGGAGGTGTGGAGTTGGGGAGAGCAAGATCAATGAAGTGGGAAGATCAGGAGTGAGAGGGTGGGGAGCAGGTAGATCATGTGGAGCCTTGTGGGCCATGCTAAGGAATTTGGGCTTCACACCTCGGCACATGGGAGGTCTGGGGTGAGCGTCGGGACCGGTCAGGCTTGGGGTCTGGACTAAGCTTCCTGGTGGCTGTGGAGAGGTCAGACAGACTGGGGATGGGCAGGTGGGCCAGGGAGAAGGGAAACCTGGCTGTTGGCAAGGTTGAGGCCTGAACCAAGATGGGAGCTGGGGCACAGGAAATGAGGCCAAGGTCAGAACTAGGGAGGAGGAAGCCGGAGGAACCTGGGCACTCAGGAGGGGCCAAGTAGTCCCTGCTTCGGGGCTGCAATCTGTTCTGGACCCAAGCCAGCTTTTTCCAACTTGCCCGCCTCCCTGGCCCATGAGATTTCAGCTCCGAAGGACTCCTGGGTGACTGCGAAGATGGGCCCCACTGTCCCTAGCACATGAAGAACATGCATCTCCAACGGAGTGAGGTGCGTGCGGGCCCCGGGCCTCTCCCGAAACACAGGCCAGGACGGCTGGTGCACTGCCCACCCGCGTCGCTGCGGTGCACGGTGTGGCGGGTCCCTGACGGGTCTGCGTTCACGTGCCCAGGTCCCTGTCTCTGAACGATGGCTTCCTGAGTGGGAAACAGACACTGTTCACAGTGGAGCGTGGGGACCAAACGAGACGACATGGAGAGACCTCAGCCTGGGAGCTGCCACATAGTGAGCGACCTCCATTTCCACGGTTAGTATTATTATGGGGAGAATATCCAGCGAACTTCCACGAAAGAGAACAAACAGCCTGTCTAGGGAACCCTGGCCCCGGCCCCCAGCCCCACCCGCCGCCAGTCGCCCACCGCAGCCGCAGCCTCCTTTGCTCCCCTACCCCGTGTCTTATTCACTTAAAGCAAATCTCAGATATCATCCCATCATTCATCCATAAATATTTCACCGCTGTATCTATTAATAATATAGCAGGTGACAGCTCTGGAAGTAACAACTGCATCTGGGAAGCGGCTCCGGAGACCCGGCTTCCTCTGGTGCGGGCTCGCACGGGGCACCTCCGGTGTGAGGACACACGCGGTCCCCGGCCCCCAGGAGCTGGGCATGCAGAGATAGGGAACAGGGGTGGATGCCAGCAATGCCCCGTGCACTGTGAGTATGTGCTGTGGCCTCGGTGTATAGAGACAGACCCTCAAGCTCTGGAACTGGGAGGGAGGGCAGTAGTAGGCTCCAGAGAAGCTGTCTACATCTGTTTGTTTGTTTTGAACACATCAACCAAGCCACCAGTCACATGCAGTGGGGGGCAGTGAGGAGGGCGTGGGGTTCGAGGCCCTATGGCATGGGCTGAACCCCAAGGCTAAGCCCACAGCTGGCGGTCGTATGGCCCAGAGTCAGTCACCTCCGCTCCTGGGGCCTCAGATCTGTCCTCGGTCCAGCCCCTCTCCCTGGGCCGTGCTGAGGAACGCCACCGCGTGGAGTCGGGCCCGAGAGGGTCTGTTAATATTCACGGTCAGGCCGCTGCCTGCGACTCTGGGCAAAGCTGCTGACCTGGCAAATGAAGTCGTAGCTGAACGGCAGAGGGAAATGTGTCTTCTGTGGCCAATTACACAATAGACGGCTTGGGACTTGGTTTACTTAATTAAATCTATAACCAATCGTGGGCCTATCACTACTTACGTTGCCACTCTAATTGGAGCCAGTTATCAAAGTCAGGTAGGAGTGAGGTCACTAGGATATCGTGGGCCTGGAGCAGGCTTGGGGGCCTGCTGATTAGACCTGAGTCGGAGTCTTCGCCTGCCATGCCCCGGCTGTGTCTCTGAGCATCACTGCTCTTCTTGTTGCCTCAGTTTCCCCACATAACCTGCCTATCTTCTTCTCATGGGCACGGAGATTGCCCCAGGGCTGCCCCTAGAGAGCTCTGAGGTGGATCTAACTCATTTATTTATCCAGCAAGGATTTGCTGGGCACCTGCTGTATGCTAAGTGCTGGGTACCATGTTGAAAAGAAGACAGATAGAGCTCTTGACCTCCCAGAACCCTGAGGGAAGGCAGGCAATGCTCGGATTAATTCATGAAGGAGAAAGGCCTTGGAGAAGTTGCAAGACAGGGTCACTGAGCTGAGTGTGAATCTGAGAACCCCCTTTCTCTGCCCAGTATAAGTAGCAATGAGACGATGAAACTGGAGCCGGGGGCAGGAAGGCAGGGTGAGCATGTGCAAAGGCCCTGGGGCAAGAGAAAGCCTGGCTGAAGGCTGTCTGCGTACAGACAGCAAATGGGAGAGTGGTTTAAAACCAGCTCAGGGCTGTGGATGCCGGCCCTCTGAGCAGGGCCTCAGAAGCCACGATGCTGGGTGGGGAGCCGCTGAAGTAGGAAGCAGGGTGACTAGATTTGTTTCCATAACACCCTTCTGACTGCTCTGTGGGGGATGGATTGGAGGGAGGGCAAGAGTGGAAGCAGGGAGAGCAGCTGGGGCGGCGGGTCTTTGCAGCATCTAAGCATCCACTGTTGGTGGTGGCTTGGACTTGGGTGAAGGCAGCAGCAATTGGGTGGGTGGTTCCAGAATGCTCTCAGAGGCAGAGATGGCAGGACCAGCTGGGGGGGTTGGATGGGGCATGAGGGCACCCAGCAGGACCCCCAGGTCTCTGCACAGAGTACTGGGTGGCAGAAGAGGTCACCCTCCGGAGGAGGAGACCAAGGGGTCAAGGAGAAGCCCCAGGCTGTCCCAGCCTATCTGAGGCACCGCTACACGTGCGGTGGAAATGCACAGGAGGCTGAAGACACAGCTGGTGTGAGCAGAGGTGAACTTTTAGAGTCATCAGGAAGCGGGAGGCATCTAAGTCCACGGGCGTGGATGAAACGTCTAAAGAGAAAGCGTAGTGTGCAATGAGGAGATGGTTCCAGACCCAGCCCTGGGCCCTCTCCTTAGGATCTGGGGGAAGGGATGCGGGGGGACCCGAAGAACTGGATGTCGGGAGCCCAGGAAAGAATGTCTCCAGGGGAGGGCGCCCTCACCGGTGCTGGAGGGGGAGGGCCCCAGTGGATCTGGGAGCATGGAGACTGTTGGGGCCTGGGCGAGAGTGGCTGATCGGGGTGGTGGAGGTGGAGGGCAGAAGAGCTGATGAGAGGGGAGGCAGATAGAAGGGGTGAGGGGGCCCAGGGAAGGTGTTTTGTTGTACAAGAGAGTAGAACAGTTTTGAATACTAATAGGAAGGATCCAGGAAGGAGAAAGATCGGAGATGCAGGGGAGAAATGGGATACTGCACAGAGAGGGGACCCTGGAGGGACCCAGCTTTCCAGGGCAGAAACTGTCCTTCAGAGGGTGTTGGGGGGAGGGAGGCCTTCCTCCTCTGTGAGAGGAGGGGCCAGAAGAGGGGGGGCAAATGCCGAGGCACGGGGGAGGAATAGGTGGCAGGTAGATGTGGGAGTTTCAATCTGATGGCTTCTACGCATCTTTTCTCCGAGACAGAGGGGTCAGGGCCCCCAGCTGAGAGCGAGTGGGGAGGGAGAACTGAGTCAAAGACGGAGGAGAGAAGATACGAAAAGGTCTTTGGGGAGGAGGAGGTGCTTTGTAGATGAAATCAGGTGCATGCTTTTGGGTAGTTGATTTCCTGAGGCTTAACCACTGTCATCCTGACCTTCTCATTCCTCAAAGGCCACCCTGGCCTCTCGCCGGAGCAGTGGCGCCTTGGCTTTGAGATATTTTTCCTCCAGCAGGGGGACCATTCTTCAAATAAACACAGCATGTGGACTCAACATACGTGCAGACAAAGAGCTGAGCTGTTTTGATGGCTGGAGGCTGCCTGTTGGGCTTCACCCTATTTCCTCGGGGTGACCCTGTAAAATCTGGGGCTCCTCCGGACCCTGTGTGAAGCTCACTGGGGGTGGAAGCAGGTCGCGGTCACCTCTTTGCCATGTGCTGGGGCAAAGATCTGGGCCCTAATTTTCTTTACTGTAAAATGGGTATAATATTACCAGAGTGGAGGCAGAAGACTAGACCGGTCCTGGCTGGTGTGGCTCAGTGGAATGAGTGCTGGCCTGTGAACCAAAGGGTCTCCGGTTCGATTCCCAGTCAGGGCACAGCCCTGGGTTGTGGGCCAGGCCTCAGTGGGGTGTGTGCGAGAGGCAACCACACATTGATGTTTCTCTCCCTCTTGAAAAAAATAAAATCGTAAAAAAAAACCCACACCGGACCAGATCACGTGTGCGTGTGTGAGCGCCAGCCCCTCCCCAAACCCGTGTGACTTTGGTGAACTCCCAGAGCGCTGTCTTTGGTTTTCGTCAGCAGCCGCTGACCAGCTGTCTCAGGTCCTTCTTGCAGAGTCGGGCTTTCGCTCTGGTCTAGCTCTAGAGCCCGTGTCCTGACAACGAGAGCAGGCCTTTTACTTTTCTCCAGGTGCAGTCCTATGGAGCTGGATGTGGAGCTGCCCATCGGGGCAGGTGGAACGGAGAGGGCACACGGGGTGGATTTGCACAGGTGGGCAGGGGTCCCACGCTGTCTCCGTGTGGCGGTGGAGACGCGTCAGGCAGACCAGCATCCTGGTGTTGTCTGGGCACCGGCCTCCCTCCACGGTGTGGGGGTGAGAACGGGGCATCATGGGACTTCGTCAGCTGAATGCGCCAGAGCGAGGATTGGATGGCCTGTCTGCACCCAAGCTTGCCCAGAGATGGGCGCCTCTTGGAGTCGCAGCGCCCGACAGAGTCTGTGCATCTCAGTTTCATAAAATGGTGGGAAAAGGTTGGTAAGCGCCCTGCTGGTGCCTGGCACTTGGCAATGCAAGCAAAGCAACCCTCCTCCATGGCCACTCCCCCAAACCTTCAGCAGACTTCGGGTACGCACCTGAGTCCTGGGAGGGAGCGAGGCACAGGACTCCTGCGTGCCACATCTGGGCTGACGCAAGGCAGGGAGCAGAGGGTACCACGTGAGAAGAAAACTTGAGTGGAGCCGAGACTTTCCCAGCAAGAGGACTCGGAGCGAGAGAAGCCACCTGCTTGTGCCGGGAGCCACGCTGTCTGGATGTTAAAGGACGGTGAACCCATAAAGCCGACGACTCAGTAGCATCACTCATTCATTCCTGGGCGTTTACTGAGCACCCAGCACACGCCCCACACTCTGCAGGGCACAGGGGAGTAAAACAGAGGTGGCAGTGTCCACGCAGGTGGCCAGGGTGACATGTATGAAGCTGAGCTCAGTGCTGGGCAGCTGGAAAGCACCACAAGTTTATCTTTTTAAGCAAGCGGGGCCGGGTTCTGTGAGCACGGGTGGTTGCGGGGCGGTGTTAATTCCACCGGACAGACGTGATGACAGGTGTGTGGGGGGCACGGCTCCACGAGACGGCATCCGCGCTTCTCCCTGGGGCACCGGCTGTGATGCAATTAACACCGAGCGCTGGTTCGGAGCTGTCACTTCTGCAGGTGGCTTGCTTCGTCCCACTGACGAAGTCAGCGTGACTCCGGACTTCACACCTTTCTCCTACAATCAAAACACCTGGGAAGTACATGGCTCTTGTCTTCTCACCACACACACATGGCGTGACAGATTTCCAGATCAAATTCGCCCTCACCGCCTGTTCCCCTGAGAGTGGAGGACGGAGCCAGCTGTGGCAGTAGGGAAGAATTCAGGGGGACGCAGAGGAGGCTGGCGGCGTGCTGGGGGTAGCCGAGGAAAGCTGTGCCTTCGTCCCTCCCCTGGGTACTGCAGCCTCTTTGCTGGTCCCCCAGAGAGAGGAGCCCTGGGTTCCAACCCCAGCCCCACCCCTTACCTGTGTGTGGTTTTGGCCGAGACACATCCCTTCTCTGAGCCACGGTGCCCTTGACTGACAGTGGGGTCCAATGTGGTGCTTCATTTGCAGAATCGTGAGGATTGAATGGTTGGGGCTGGGCAACGCTCAGCACGCTGTCCGGCTCCAAGCAAACCGGGCTGCAAGGCCGTCCACGCGGCCCACAAGCACCCCCAGCTCCTCCTCCCTGGGGCACGTCCAGGATGCCCTGGGTGGAGCTGTGGGCTGCTTCTGGCCACCAAGCTGGGCAATGACCCAGTGTCATGATTGTCCCTGTGAGACCCTCCAGGGGCTTTTGTCCCTTCTGCCACAGCAACTGGCTCGTTGGGAAGCTTGGGTCCTGGAAGAGGAGGGGGAGGTTGAGCTGAGCTGTGGAGCACTCACCACAGGCAAGTCACAAAAGTAAGCCGTGGGCGCTGGGACCTGCGTCCACTGTTGGTTAATGTAGCAAACTCTGCTTTTTCTGACGAATGCAGGGAATTAGCTCCTGTCTCCAGACCTCAGTATCTTTACCTGGAAGAGGAGTAGCTGTGCTAGATGGTTGATTCACAGGAGGTTCCGTCCACCCCAGACTCCAGAGGACGGACCCTGGTCCACACCCACTCAGGGCCCTGCTCCTTTCTCCTCTGTGCTTCCCCCACAAGCCAACAGGTTCTGTCCTAGTTACAACGGGGCAGTGCTCAGAGGAGGGGGTGACCCGGTGACGGGGGCCTGGATGCACAGGCATTTCAAGCTCAGCAGACCCAGAACAGAATTCCTTCTCCCAGACTGGCTCCTGCTCTGGCTTCCCTAGCTCAGCGGGGGCCTGAGGGCCCCATTAGTTGCCCAGAAGAGAACCCTGGATCCCATCCTGGGCTCCAACATTTCCCTTGCCCCAAATCCCTTCTCTGTTACCCCTTAATGTCTCTCACACCCATTCCCTCCTCTCGTACCTCCTCCCACTGTACCTCCCTCAATAGCTGTCTCCTCGCTGCTCTACCCCTGCCCATCACACCAAACCCTCCCTCCCACCCACTCCCACCGCAGCTGCCCAGAACTCCTCCTAAGGGGCACCCGGACATGTCACTCTCCACTGTGCTCGAAACACAGCAGGTTTGTGGTTCCCCAAGACTCCCCCTAACGGCCCCTTGTTCCTGATGTTTCCTCTTCCTGGAAGTCCCTCTGTCCCCTGGCTGCCTGAAGAATTCTCACTCCTCCTTCAAAACTCAGCTCCGATGCTATTTCTACGGATGCTTTCTCCGATAGCCTCAAGCTGTGTTCATACCTCTGTTACAATACTCAGAACATGGGGCCCAACGGACCGGGACCAGTCACTCTGACCTGTGAGCCACTGAATGAGGGGACTGTGTCTCTCTCATTCTTCCAGAGACTCCTAGCCCAAGGCTGGGCCCACAGCTGGTGCTTAGCAAATGTTCCTCTCACTCACTCTTCACCCCCCGCCCCCACCCCTCACTCACTGCTCTTGCACCCAGCGGCCTTCTAGGCATTGGGAAGGCAGGAGTAAGTACGATGCTTGCTTTCCGGTGGGAGACAGAATTCCATAACAAACAGGTCATAAGACAGACCCAAGATGATTTTAAATCGAAGTGAGTGCTGTTAAGCCCAGCAGTGCAGACGGGCTGCTGCTTTACATAGATGGTTAGAAAAGGTCTTTTTAAAGAGGTAGCATTTGAGCTGGGACCTGATTAATGAGAGGAGTTCATCATGTGGGTACTGAAGGGAAAAGTGTCCCAGCCAGTGGGAACGGCATGAGCAAAGGCCCCGTGGAGAGAAGACCTGGACGTTTATTAAGGTTGGATGGATGGATGGGTAGGGGATGCCCACTTGCTCTTCTCCCTCTTGGGGTCTGGGTGTTCAGTTGCACAGGTGGCCATAGTCAATTGCCCCCACCTTCTGAGACAACAGCCTTCTCTCAGGGAAGGTGCTGGGACCCGCCGCTGCGTGTGTAGAGCCAGGAGACATCGGGAGCTGACGCTGGCTCCTCAAGCCCCTCACAGACAGTGCAGGGGCGTGTGTGCCAGAGGCTGCTGGCCCCCGAGGAGACACATTTATGAAGCTGGCCTGTGCGTCCTTGAGCCAAGGCTCTGTAGGCACCTGCTTCATAACAAACATCTCCGGGTTTAATCCCTGGAGAATTTCTCCTTCAGGCTCATCCTCAGGTGGAGGGGATGCACTTGAACAGAGCAAACACGGGGAAGGCTGTGGCCTCTTCGCGTCTCGTTCCTCCCCATCACTGTCCTACTGTTCTCCATGTCTGCAGCCCTGCGAAGGGGGTGGCACCACTTATGTGATATTTCAGCCTCGCCAGCTGATCCTCCCACGCACACGCACATGTATGTTTCTCAGCACCTCTTGGTGGCTGCCCCGAGTCAGGGGCCAATGTGGGACAGGCAGTAACCAGCCTGTAGAGCCGTGGTGGCGATGGCGATGGTGATGGCGATGGCGACTCTTGCCTTCTGTACCAAGGGAGGCCACCGTGCTGAGCACCTCAGCTGAGGCTGGGATCGAATTTCCACCCCAGGGCTTCCCTACCCCCTAGGCCTCCTGCCCTGCTCTCAAGCTAGCAGTTAACCTGGGACCAGTGACTTTCCCTGGGGAAGGAGGGACAGCAGGAGCAGCTGCAGTCAGCTCCTGGTTCCTGCAGCCAGAGTCCATGAGTGCCTGGGAGGGGCGGGTGTGTGTGTGCACTGGGAGTCAGCAATGGCCAAGGCCTCGGAACCAGACGGGCCTGGCTTCCAAACCAGCCCCTGCTCCCCAGTGTGGCTTCGAGCGTGGAATGGACCTGCTCTGAGCCTCAGTTTCTTCAGTGGATGAGGGATGGAAGGGCTAACTAAATGCCCTCCTTTGAGTGGTTCTCCCAAGGGTGAATTATGGCACTATGCCTCAAGTTCCTGGTGTGCAGAAGATGCTAATGGATGAGCCTGGGCTCGGGGCTGTCTGTGACTTTATCATATTCAAATCCCACAGTCCCTGCCCTCCCTGCTGGGGTAGGGAAAAGGAGATGGGGGCTCAGAGATGGGAAATGACTAGGGGGGTGCCAGACCTATCAGAAGTCAGACCCTGTGACTACCCAAGGCTATAGGGTCCCTGTGCACGGGAGCTGGAGGGGGTGAGAAAGGGCTCAGCAGGTGGATGGAGCGAGGCTGACCCAGAGGGCGGCCCCTGCCTGATGGAGCCATCTCTGCATACTACACAGACCAGCCCCACCAGAGTGCCCTGGTGTCTGCAGGGCCCCACTGACCCTCTGCAGCTGGCAGGGCCGTGATGGAGGCCCCTCAGGAACGATGAAGTGGGAGCAGGCGGGGCATGCTCTCTGCTCCAGGCCCAGCAGGCCTCAGAGCTGC